CCGCCCCCCTCCGCCCCCTCCGCCCCCCTCCGCCCCCCTCCGCCCCCCGGAACCTGCGGTACTGAGGCTCAGGGCCCCGCCCCCTCAGCCTGGAAACACTGCCCGGGTAGCCTGGGTTCAGCCTTTCCTCCATCCCAGTGCCCCTCGTGTCCCTTGTGCCCCTCGTGCCCCTCGTGCCCCAGGCGGAACTTCACTACCCCGGCGCCTCGCAGCCTGGCTTCACCACTAAGGAGCTTGGGTTTTTTCTCCAGAACAGGGGAGCTGGAGGACTCTAACAGGCGTGTCGTTTTCAGATTTGCGTGTTAGAAAGGTCAGAACTGACCTGCGAGGAGGAGCTTACTGACTGTAGGGGCTGGAATTGGAACTGAGGGCGAAAGTTCCGAGGCCATGGGTACAGTCCAGGTGAGACTTGAGGCCTGAACCCGAGCAGCGGCAGCAGGGGTGGGAGGAGAGGACTGAGATATTTGGGAGGTGAGTGCCATGCAGTGACTGGATTGGGGGTGAGGGTGAGAAGACATCTGGGATGACTCCCAAGTTTCTGGCTTGGACAATGAAATGGGTGTAAGAGGCCCAGGTTGGGCGTGAAGGGAGGGGGGGGGCAAGCTCAGCTTTGGATTTGCCTGAGTTTAAGGTCCCTACGGGTCATGGCCCACCAGAGGCGTAGGCCCCACAGATGGTGGAGTCCCAAGAATGAAGTGGAAGCTAACAGCCATGAGGTAAGATTATTAGTAAAAAACTGCACATCAGACAGAAGTCGAGGCGAAAATTCGACCAAGCGCTTTGTCTCTCTAGCTGTATTTGTTTGCAGTGGGTGCTCTGGTATATCCTGGAGCCTTTACCAGTTCTTTTTGCTATTTCATTCTGGCCTATCCAGTCAATAACCTTAAGTGTTTCAAATGGATGGGTTGGTCAGACCTACGGTTGGTTGTTCTTTAAAGCGCTCAGCTAAAAATGCTCCTTCATTCCAGTATTGAGTGACTCCTACCTCTTGCCTTTTATTAATTTCTCCTTTGAATTACTGCAATAGCCTTTCTCACATTTTTTTGTTGATAACTTAAAAGTTATACTTGGTGGGATTAAGGACAGTTTGCTAACTTTTAGTTCTTCTTCCTTGATGTCAATGATATAACTAAAACCACCAAACATATTTTATCCACTGGTGTAATAGTGATCCACCCCTTTGCTCCTCAAACCACATGGTTTAGGTGAGGCAGATCCAACCCCAGTTTAGGAGTGATAACTAGACCCAGGTCTGACCAATTAGACATAGGGATTGGCTGAGGGTTGATCACATGTTCTGAGCCAGACAAGAGATGGTCCAGGGGTTTTTCTGGAACTATAGAAAAGATCATTTTCAACTGGTTTGCTAACCTGGTAGAAAGCCTACTGCTAGTGATCACCTTTGCAGCCATGTGAACAGAGCCACTTTGGGAATGAAGCACATAGATGAGCTGAGAGGAGACAAGTTTGATGTTGCTTGTGCAGCTAGAAACCAGCAGTGCCAGAAATGGGCACTAAAGACATTTTAGTTGGTGTTAACTTAAAAATAAAAAGACCTCTCAAAGTGAAAGGCAAATAAGTGTTTATTTGAGATCAATAAGACTAGGTATTCAGGAATCATTAAATCAGACAGAAACCCAAATAATGTTCTGATTAGGAGACTAGGATAATGGATATTTATGAGAAAGGAAAAGAGAACAATTACATCAATAGAAGGAAAGCATTTCTATTGATGCAGATAACACAGGGATGTTATTAAAAAATATGTTTTTGTTGATTTTAGAGAGAGGACGAGATAGAAACAGCAGTGAGAGAGAAACCAATTGGTTGCCTCCTGCACACCCGCTACTGGGGATCAAGTCCACAACCCAGGCATGTGCCCTGACCAGGAATCAAACCAATGACCTCTTGGTGCATGGGCCAATGCTCAACCAGCTGAACCATACAGGTCAGGCAGGGATGTTAATTTTAAAGTATTTTAAATTTTCAGTCCAGTAGTCATAATAACTGCTTTTTTGTTATCTTTGCACTGTTCTTTGGGAAACAAGGTTGGTTAGGCCCAATCGAAAAGTTAAATTCCAAGGTTTGATTTATAAGACATGCAAGGCGGTTCCTTTGGCATGGCAGCTCCGGCTTCATTTTAAGGTGGCTCTGTTTATATTATAGTTTACATTGGGTTTGTCACTTGTAACTAAGAGACCCATGTTAAACTGATTTGTATTTGTAGAATCCCTCCTCCTTTCCTTTATTGAAAGTCAGTACTTATCTCCAGATTTCCTCTCTCCATAATTTAACAATTGCTCACATTATCTGTTATTTTGAACTGATACTCTGCCCTAGTATCCACCACTGCCCTGCTCGACTATCAGAGCCATCTGAGATGAAACTCTGTCCATTATTTGTTTACTTAAAATCCTTCAGACTCTGCATTACCGACAGGCAAAAACCCAACTTCTCTCATATGATTTTAACCCCTATCTCTGTCAAACTGAAATTCACCTTTCACTAATACTGACTGCTTGTACCGTCCTGTAAAAGCTATGCTGCAAGTTTAGTTATGCAGTTACCCATCTTTTAAGCCAATTCAAGCCTTGTCTTCTTCAGGGAGCCACCTCTGACTACCCCACAACTTGTGTTTAACTTTAATTGCACATATGGCCCTTCGGTACTATCAATTTATGTATGTACTTCTCCCACTAGCCCGTAAGTTCCATGACAGGATCTTGCTTTATTCGTCTATAATCAATCTTGGGTTTGCAAGTTAATTACAATTTAACAGTTCAAGTATGACTTTTTTAAAATGACAGAAATAAATAAATAAAAGGCCAGTTTTACTTTGTTATGATTATAAATGTAATGCCTTTAGTCTCAGGAAATAGGTCTAGCTCTTCTGCATTTTACTTTTTTTGCCCTGAACCTGAGATTCTCCTGTCTTCACTTGTATTGGTCCATGATCACTCCCAGCTTTCATAGTTATATTTATATCTGAGGTAACTGCAGAAAACTCTTTAGGCAGGATCTCTTTGAATACATTTTTTTTTTTTTACCTTATCAGTAAAAAATAATTAGCAGTCATTTTGAAGAACTTCTTAGCACTCTTTAACACACACACACACTTTTTACAAATGCAACCTAGAGAAACAGAGACCTACCTCATTATGATCTAGCTCAGTGGTTCTCAACCTCCCTAATGCCCCGAGCCTTTAACACAGTTCCTCATGTTGTGGTGCCCCTCAACAATAACATTATTTTTGTTGCTACTTCATAACTGTAATTTTGCTACTTTTATGTTTTAGGTGACCCCTGTGAAAGGGTCGTTCAACCCCCAGGTTGAGAACCACTGATCTAGCTAATTGAAGTCTGAGCTTTTGTGACACTGAAAACTTCCTAATGTGTCTCAATCGCCACTCCCTCTCCAGGTTGCTGTAAGGATTAAATGAGATAACTTGCTAAAGGACTCTCCTAAAACAGGTAGGTTCCACTAAGGAAGGAATATTTAAAGCGTGGGTCAGCCACAAGATAAGGAGCTTGGCCAGAATCTGGATCAATAATCTACTCCCTTCATTTAGCAAATACATATGCTACAAAAAAAAAAAAAAAAAAGTTGGCTGAACTAAACAGTGCACTCAGATACATGCTGGTGAAAACCCCTTATCTTTTCACATAACAGTAACAAAAAGCTCACAGAGCTGCAGCTTGTCCAAGCTTTTGAACCATCAGCATCTTTTTTTTAAAAAAATATTCTCACCCAAGGATATACTTATTGATTTTAGAGAGGATGGAGACATCGACCAGTTGCCTCCTGTATGCACCCCGCAACCTCGGTTTGTGTTCTGACTGGGAATTGAGCATGCAACCTGTTAGTGTACTGGATGATGCTCCAACTAATGAAACCACCTGGCCAGGACCATCCAGCATCTTTTTTATTTTTATTTTTCCCCTTTATTGATTATAGAGAGGAAGTGAGAGAGAAATATCGATGAGAGAGAACATCGATTGGCTACCCCTTGCATGTCCCCCACTGGGGATCGGGCCCACAACTTGGGCATGTCCTGAGGAATCAAACTGGCGACCTCTTGCCCTGGCCGGTTTGGCTCAGCGGTTAGAGCGCCCGCCTGCGGTCCAGAGAGACCCGGGTTCAGTTCCCGCTAAGGGCATGTACCTTGGTTGCAGTTTGTCCCCGGCCCTGGTTGGTCGTGCGGGTGGCAGCCACTCGAGTGGCAGCCACTCGATGTGTCCCTTTCACATCGATGTTTCTCTCTCTCTCTCTTCCTCTCTCCCTCCCACTCTGTCTGTACAAAAAATGGAAAAATGTCCTCGGGTGAGGATAAAAAACAAAACAAAACTGGCGACCTCTTGATGCATGGGTCAATGTTCAACCACTAAGCCACACTGGCTGGACCATCCAGCATCTTTTAAACAATTTTGCTATAAACTCTGAGCTCTTAAATAAAACCCAGTAACTTTCCCCCAGTCTCTCTTGCAGCCAGAACAAAGGTATGTGACCTAGAAACTGCCAATCAAAGGCATCCATGTAAGTTTTTGATTAGGAAGATACACAAAAGGAAGAAGGTACCAGGTAAAATTCTTCTGGTCGGGATACATATATCTAGCTTTTAGGAACTCAGAGACTGACACCTAGTGGTGCAGGCTGTAGTGTCCATACCTACTGCCACAGAAATGGAGTATTTGCTAGAGAAGGCCCAAGACATGTTTTGGACATTTTTTCTGACTGTGCAGCTTTGCTTTGAGGACTAACTCTGGCCCTTCCAAAGAATATTTGGTTTATTCTACTACTCATTTATAAAAATTCAAATAGCTTTCAAATTTAGCCATTAGATACCCTTACAAACTTAACATTTTTGTGGCCAATTTTAAGCCAAATAAAACTGTCAACAAAACCCAAAACTGACTGTAGCTTACCCGTATCTTAGACAGTGAGTGTTAACCCATATTATTTAGCCACATTAAGTTCTGACTTTTACTCAAAAAAAGGTCAAAACAATTCTAACACTGCTATTTTGAATAGACCTAATATTAGGTGTCTATAATTTGGACCTCTAAAAATAACTAATATTTTCCCTACAATAATGAAAAATGCCTGGGAGGGGGTTGTCTTTTAGGTAATGCAGAGTACTCAATTTCTAGGTCAGGAAATTAAGTTCAGTCTCCCCTCGTCCATTTTCTCAACCTCACAGCCAGGAATGTCAAGACCTTGGTTAACATGGTAGAAAGGAGACTAACTTATTTTTTTCTCTGGAATGGGTTTTAGCCACTGTACCCTTTCTTCTAAGAGTTAAGAAAACATTTTTAGCTTCTAAATGATAAGCAAAGACAATGTTTTACAACGGCTGCAAAATTCTCAAGTTTCACAAATAACTGTGTTGAGACACAAATTTGAGTCATTTCTTTCTTTCAATATATTTTATTCTGATGAAGTTACAAAAGTAGATACAAAATACTTTGAAAAAGTACAATAAACTTAGAAAAATAGATAAAGCCCCTAAAGATTTAAAAATACAACATAGATTTTCATAAAGAACATTTAAAAATATTTTAGATGGTAACCAAGACTAACTTATGCAAGCTATTTTTTGATGCAGACCAAACACAGAATGTTCTATAATAAATCTATGCACACTGGCAATCCATTTGGATTTACAGAATACTTGTTTGGAACAGAATCTGATGATGAGAGAAAAACCCAAGTGGATTTCGAAGCAGTTGCTTCAATAAACTTACTATCACATTTAACATCCCCCAAGAGCCTTTTACAGTCTGAAATATCAGTATCGAATACAAAAACACAGGAAGACTGAGGGACTACTATTTTCCCTCTTTGCCAGAATTCTACAATAGTAAGTCCACGTACTGAACGGCTATCAGGAGGAAATAATGTCCCTGTTAAAGGTGCTCAGTTTGGTGTCCGAGCTGCAATTTTTAGGCCAGAGTCCTACAGACAGAAGACACCCTCCCCTAACCATGAAGGGTTAACACCAGTGCCATGACTGGGGCTGCTTTGAAACAAATTTCTAGGACCTATATTCTTTGGGCCTGATTTGTTTATGCTTCTGAGGTAATAATGTTAAGCTTAGAAGCTCCACTTCTAGTATAACCGCACTGCTCAGAGAAAAGGCCAACAGTATAATCAGAAAACCTCAGCAATGTTTGCAAAAGTTAAAATCATCAGGATCATCCTCTTGCCTCACATGACTAGGAAAACTTTCCTTTGGTTGATATCAGAGTCATGATGGCTCCAGATTTGCTTTTCTTGAGCAGTCAGCTACAAGAGTTAGGGCTCTACAAGTCTAAGACAAAAGGAAATACTTTGTAGCTGGCAGTTCTCTAAAATCACTTTATTCAGTCTGGAGAAGAATAAAGGATACATTTGGCTGTCAATACAAAAACTGTAGTACAAAGAAGTTTCAATATTTAAACAAAAACCTCCACATCATTCTCTAATTTTTTTAAAAGGCCTGAAAATAAAAGCACCAAAGGATTAACTGCATAATGTACAAAGCACTCTCCACCCCAGACTGTTATCAGGTATGAGTAGATGAGACATTGAGAGGAGATGACTTGTGATTAGGAGCGGTCAGGGTAGGGAGTGTTGTCAAACAAGCAGACCCTGGGCACAGGGAGATAAATAAAAAGTGAGAGGAGTCCAAGACAGACTGATTTCTTCCAACTCATATCAAAAGTTGGCCTTTTAGCCAAGTCGGGAAGGGGCCATCCTCTCCCCATCCCTCCAATTCTCCTGCCCTCAACTCCTTGATATTTAGATGCATTGTTGGTTAAGCCGGATTCGTATGTGAACTTGGTAATGTTTTTATTTTTTATTTTTAAAATGACATTCTGAGTCTCAAATTACCAACAATTTTACTTGTGTCACTAATAAGCTGCCTTTACTACTATTCTAACGTAACCGTCTTTGATTCATTTTGGGGCTGAATCATGGAGAGAGAGAGAGAGGATTTCTATCACTGAAAATAAATGGAGAAATGTGAGAACCCTTTGTTTTGAGAATATTAGAAATGATGGTGCAAGTACAACCCTAGTTGAGAAATCTGACTTTATTCCTTGCAGACTTTTGTAAATGACCGCCTGACAGGGACCTTTGAATAACCTTAAAATGTGGATTGTGGAATGTCTCAGAGGGCTTTTCTCTTTTTTTTCATAAGTGATTATCCCACTCTTTTAATTCCTGAAACAATGAAGTATGATTTCAGCCTAATTAGATGAGATGTTTTGTTTCCTTTAAAATTCTGTATATATTTAATAATTTATTGAAATTGAATTATTATAAAAATGGAGTTTCTAAGTAATCCTCTTCCTTATATCTAGTGGAATAATAAAAATAAATAACAAAAACACTCTATCAAAATTAACCTCTGCCAAAGCCATCAAGAAGCTAGTGAATACTTTGCAAAAGTACCCCTCTGAAACAGAATGCCGATGAACTTCAAGCGGTGCCAGTCTGGCAGGTCTTTAGTATACTTGTGCCTCAATACATTTAGTCAGAGTTTACTAAATCCTAGAAACCTAATGAAAATCGGATCTTTTCTTCACTTAAGTGGACGATTTTTTTTTTTTATCTGAATAGAAATAGAGTAATTTCAAGTTTTGATACAAAAACAACACAGGATAAAACCCCTATGAGGGCTCAATCCATCCCTTGACTATTAACAGAATGAAGATATTTACTTATCTCTCCCATGTTGTCTCCTTTAAATGCGCGCACGCACGCACACACACACACACGAATAGGAAACACACCAAACTTTTAGCTCTGTTATAAAATGTGTACACCTTTTAAGGTTTTTTTAAATTGTGGTTTTCCTTAAGTTTTATCCTTATTGGGATAAAGTTGGTGCATTTCTACAGTACTCTTCACTAAGTCTCAAGATAGACACACACACACATGCATACAGAATTCTTTAAAAAAGGAAACTAAACACAAAACAATCAAGTAATCTGAGTATTTTCTTCCATCCTCCTATCCAGCATTTCAAAGCCTTCTGAAAGGCAACATGAATGAAAATAGTGGTTTGAGACCTAAATTTGTAATTTTTTGGAAGTTTGCTTTTTGCCAGCCAAAAGCTATATATTCAAATACATACGAAGTATTAAAAAAATAAAAACGAAAAACAACAACAACAAAAAACCTGCAAGACCATCTTAGATGCCTTAGAAAAAAATTATTTCTGATACACACATACTCCTCCTAAACATTTAAATAGGCTCGTATGTGAATAAAATCCCAAATAAAGATTTAAAATAAAGTCATTTTAGAATTAACTTTGGTTTCTCCCATACATGTCATATGATGATTTAAATGGCAATCATGGATTTTGAAAAAATATGTTTTATCTATAAAACACTAGTAAAAACTTCAAACTAAATGGTTATCCAAAGTGATACAAATTGTTCTAAATCTTAAGGAAACTTAAAAATACCTCTTCTATAAGTAGAATATAACCTATTTGACTGAATTATTAGCAAATTTGTTGTGGAAACTTGTTAATAAATTATTGGTGGAAATTCTTAATATCCATTATGCTGTAATCTGAAACAGACTAAATCATTTTCTTTAATAAAAGAATAACAAGTAAACTGATAAACTACAGATTAATCATCACGTATTAAAACCAAGTGTGACAAGAGTGGTGACATAGTGCCTCAGATTCGGCTGTATCCTGAATTTCTCACTCCGAAAGTATTAGGCCACCCTACCTTTGGGACAATTTTTATCAGTAGACACAGACAATAGGTGTCTTTATGCTGTTTTTCTTAAAGTTTGTATCACTAGTCTATAACAGATAGCAATGAGATAGCTCTAGCAGTAGGTGAAGCAAGAGGGTAACTGTGTACTAGAAGAAACATTTATCTGTCTTTTGATCCAAGCTTCTCAATTAATTCCTGAAGAGGTGCCAACTCACGCCTATCAATCAGATTAAACTCCTAAAAAGAGAAGAAAAAGAAAATTTAAAAAGATCTAAAATGAAAACTCTGTAAATGTCAAAGTATTCCCAACCCTAGTTTTCTGAAATCCAAAAGAATAATGATCTCTGAACATTTAAAAATGGAATAATTTTTACTCCTTTTTAAAATATAGGGGACTTACTAAATAAACAACTGTATGTAATAGCATGATGTTACTGGGTAAAACATTAAAAGCAAAATTGTATTTTTACATTTACATAGAAATTATCTGAAAACTGTACTCTGAACCTTTGCTAGTGGCCACGTCTGGGGCAGCAGACCTTTTCCTTTCATATACTGTAGGCATAGCTGTCCTCTATAGCTGTGCCATGCAACAGGTCTCAGAAGGAAGATAGAGAAGAGCACAGTACATTCTCCTTTGTGTGATACATAGAACTGTAATACACAATTATCTTCTAAAAAGCTGCTGGTTTTTCCATCAAAAAATAGTATCTAGACACATGTGTATTTTGCATATAGAATTATATATCTCTAAAGTGAGACTAAACAAGTCTCAATTCTTCGACATTGTTTTCAAACAATGTGAATTATTTTGATTTTTGAAGTTTCGAGCTGCTGACTTCATAAGATCTGGCTTTAGGTGGGACTTCTGGAAACTGAACCCAAGACAGCAAGTAACAGGTTCTTCCAAAAGTTTCTCTTTCAGGCATAAACATCTCATGAAACAACCCAGCTTCAGACGTTTTTCCATCGCATTCCTTTACCCAGCAGTGGTGATGGAACAGAAGGGTATGGACAAGCTTTCTTGGGTTTTTGGTGCTCCTTGTCATATTCTAACCACAGACCTGGGCAGCCAGAGGCAAAAAGCCCAAAACGGGGATGATGCTTTCTATGTTGCTACATACATCAATGAAATAATGTGGAAAAGAGAACCTGTTTTTGCTTAGCTCTACATCTATAACTAAGACTCTATAAATTGCCCTTTATTAAAGTTACCAAGCCAAGCATATCAAAGTTGAAGGACACAGAAGTCAATATGGTTCAACTTACCTGAACAAAGAAAATAAAGTGCTTAAAGGAGGTGTTGAGGTGGGCCTCCTCTTGCAGTTGCATCACAGAATCAAAGTGCTGGTGATAAATATGGGCATAAACCCTGAACAGACGCTTTAGAATGGTCTTTGCCACAGACATAAAGTTTTTGGGAAACGGGACACCTATAATCAAATATACATATATATCCATTAGTTTTTTATCTAACTGAACAGCAGAAAGTTTAGATACGGCCATGAGCAACTCCAACAGACAAACACACACATTCACAAATACAAGCCTACTGCCATATATATATTTTTTAAAGGCAAGGAAAGAAAAAATCCCAAACATGAGTTACGCTCACATGCCATACCTTTTTATTACTGTCTTAGAATAGCAGCAGGCAGGTTTCAAAAGTTGTATATAAGATGCTACTGAATCAAAGTTAAAATAAACCTAATTTTAGTTGTTTAATATTAAAGAGTTTCTTTCTAAGATTAAATGCAACAATATTAAGCATTTTGACTATAAATAGAAAACTTTTACTTTTTGTAACCTATAACTCTAAAAAAAGTTTTTACACACTCAACTAGACTGGAAACTCTCCTAAGCAAAAGAAAAAAAACGGCACACTTCAAGTCATCATAATCTACTGTTTACAAGTATTTTATCTTCTGAAATAGTCTGAAAAGCCAGTTTTCTTAAAATAAGAATACAAACTTTTTATTTTATTTTTTTAAGTGCTATTTTCATTTTTCTATAGTCTAAGAAGGGGATCTACTTCCTGAAAAAGGGAGGAAGGGCAGCTCCCTATTTTTCAAAGAAAATATATACCTGCTTAGAAAAGAACTGGGAGAGGGTTTGGTAATTCCTCTCCAAGCAGTATAGGTAGGTATGCAACTGGTTACATTCCTGATAATTTTGGTTAACAAGACCAAAATCTCTTAGAAGGTGGGGGTAGGAGAAAGACAATACAATGGGCACTGAGTACAGTAAATGCACACACAAGAAGGAATCTGCTTCCAAAATAACCTTCAAGGTCTGTTCCAGAACATTCACTCTTAAAAACATTTTCTTTCTTTAATCTTTCAAAGGACAAAAACAGAAACACTCTCTCCTTCTCTGCACTTGGTTTTATTTCTCAGTCCTTAATAGCTTGAAATTTAGTGTATTTTGCTCTTCTAAACTGATTTTGTGGGGGATTCCCCCCACTCCCAGTCTTGGCTAACAATTTGCCCTTTCAAACATTATTCTGGAGCTTATGGGCATGTTTTCTGAAACGGGTCTTGTACTCATGTACTAAAAAGATGAATTTTTATATCAAACTCCTTTTCAAAATTTATAAATGGGTACCTTGCTAAGAAAATGAAAAGTAGTAACTTGGATATACTAGTTTAAAAATGAATATATAATTTTGTCTAATATAAGTAAATAAATGGCATAAGTAAGATGTGGATAATAACCTAATGAGGGGGGGAAGAATCACAGAACATTAGGATAAATTATTGATGAATGGGAAGCTGAGAAAAGAGAATAAAGTCAAAAGTATTCTTTCTCTTCAATAAGGAAAACTTTAATGAATAAAGAAATTTAATTTGTTTTAATCTAAGCACTTTCAAGCTGAATTTAACAAGAAACATTCAAGCACAGTCACTATACAATAACAAATCTATGAGAAAGGAAATAAAATGCTTAATAATAGAATGGAAAAGTTGACTAATAGCAAACAGACCAAGTGTAACATGATATAACTACTTCTCCTGAAAGAACCTTTAATTAGACTGCAAAAAGGAACCTGCTATGGTCTGAATATTTGCATCTTTCCCCTCTACCCCACCCCACCCCCTTGCAAAATTCTTATGTTGAAGTCCTAACTCCTGGATGGCATTAGTAGGTGGAGCTTTTGGGAGGTGATTAGGCCATGAGGGCAGATCTTTCATGAATGGGATTATGCCCTTATAAAAAGAGGCCTCAGAGAGCTGCCCTTCCACTCTGAGTTTCCTAAGGAATTATTTTGAAATGTGATAAGAAGTCAGCAGTGTGCAACCTAGAAGTGGACCTTCACCAGAACCCAACCATGCTGGCAAAAGACTTTCAGCCTTTAGAACTTTGAGAAATAAAATTCTCTTCTTTATGTACCATCCACTTTCTGGCATTTTTGTTATAGGGGCCCAAACAGACAAGACAGGATCCAATGATATGTTGTTCATAAGACACCCTTACACTGAAAATGACAAGGACCAATCTCATCCATAAATACCAATCCCAAAATCTTAATAAAAATATTAGCAAATAAAAAGTACTCTTCCAGGAGAACAATAAACAAAAAAATGGAGAAAACTTTATGGCCATCAACAACAAATACTGGAAAAGTATCTGATAAAACTATACAACCGTATACCTGACTTAAAAAAATTCACACACCTCTAACCAAAAGCAAGATTCTAGCTTAATGCTAAAATACTAGAAGCACTCATAAACGGAAACAAGAAAAGGATGTCTGCCATTATCAGCATTAGTCAGCACTGCTCTGGAAGTACTAGTTGTAAGAACAATTAGGTAAGAGTTACACAAGAAGTATACATTATCAGAAAGTGGCAAAACTACTATTACCTTAATATGATGTAATTGTATACTTTAAAAACTCAAGAAAAACAACCCAAAACAGGAACAATCAAATTCTGATGGTCAATTATGAGATTTATATGAAATCAACAGCTCTTCTACATACTAAACATTAGCCAATTGGAAAATAAATATTAATAAAAAATATTAAAGGCCTAGGAATAAACTTAAGAAACTTGAAGGATTTGCATAAAGCAAACTATAGAATTTTATAAGAGGAGATAATAAATAAGAGACATGAATAAATGAAGAAATATACCTTGTTCTTGGACAAGAAGACTCCATATTGTCAAGAGAACAAGAATCCCTATATTAATCTACAATTGAATAAATTCGTAACAAAAATCTCACAAAGATTTTTTTTACCTTGACAAAATGATTCTAAGTTCTTTGGAAGAACAAATATCCCAGAATAGTCGTGAATATTCTGAAAAAGAAGAGCAAGTAAGAGAGACTAGCCCTACAAGATGCTCAAAGATATATGGCCATGGTTAATTAAAACAGTGTGGAATTTCTACAGAAACAGATATAGCGATTAAAAGACTCCAGAACACTCGACAACTTGATAATCAGGAAAGAAAAGACACATGTATGTGATAAATAGTACTGGACAAACTGACTAGCATTGTTATAACTGGAAAAAAATGAAGGAAACAGTGAGAAAAAATTCCTGACAGAACAAAGACTTAAATGTAAAAACAAAACCACAAAAGTACTAAATGAAAACATGGACAAATATTTTTATAATAGTGAAGTAGGGAAAACCTTTCTAATCATTGATTAAAATCCAGAAATCATTAAAGAAAAGATTAATAAGACAAAATAAAGTTATATATAGCAAAAACACTTGATGAACACAGCAAGACAACAGGCAACCTGGAGAAACATACAACATTTATGATAAAAAGCTAATATCCTTAACATACAGAGAAATGAACAAAGGATAAAAAGAGAAAACACATAATGATCAATAAAACAAAAAAATGCTCAATCTCATCAATGTCTTAAAAATGTACCTTAAAACAAACTTATTTATCTAAATTATTAAAAAATTTAAAAAATGAGTAACAACCAGTATTGGTGAAGAAACACAGGCAGACACAAACATGTCTGAAAGGAATATACATTTATAATCTTTCGTAGAGAAATGTGAGTCTGTTACATTTTTAAAAAAGTAATAGTGTTAAAAGGCACACACTTATCATTTAAAAAGAAAACAATTCTACAACATTAAACTCACCAATCTTAGAAGGAAAAAGAGTTTCATCATCAAGTTGATCCTGAACCCAAGTCATCAAATAGTCAATGTATTTTGGTGCCGAACATTTGATTGGCTTTTTAATATTAGTACCATCTGCCCAATGATATTCATATCTGAGGAGAAAAAGGTTTTACTGGTAAAAATTTTCACATTAACAAATTATGCAACTTGTAATCAAAGTTGGTTCGCACTTTGTCAACAGAAGTTATATACATATCTCTAAGTTATCTCTAGTAAATTACCTAAACTTCTACTGAAAATTACTGAGTTTCCTAAGGAATTATTTCGAAATGTGATGGTTATAACTGGAAGAAAAAGAGAAGATAATATGACAGCATGCCAGAATGGATGTTTCCTAGCACAAACCTGGGAAAGAGAAAGGAACTGCATTCCTGTCTTTCAGACAGAGGATGCAGAGGACGGAGGAAGAGACTGAGAGATCACCACATTCTAAAATCCTTGGCCACTTGCCCTGGCCAGTTTGGCTCAGTGGTTGGAGCGTTGGCCTGCGGTCCGGAGAGACCCGGGTTCGGTTCCCGCTAAGGGCATGTACCTCGGTTGCAGTTTGTCCCTGGCCCTGGTTGGTCGTGCGGGTGGGAGCCACTCGAAGTGTCCCTTTCACATCGATGTTTCTCTCTCTCTCTTCCTCTCTCTACCTACCACTCTATCTGTACAAAAAATGGAAAAATGTCCTCGGGTGAGGATAAAAAATAAATAAATAAATAAAAATAAAATAAAATCCTTGGCCACCAAATTATCATCAACAGAGTAAGATCATAAAATCTTGTTTCTTGAAGAGAGTGTTAAAGAAACATCCTTAAGCATGCATTTTCCCCCCACCCCTCACCTTTGCTCAACTAGAATGATTAACAAGACTTACACAAAACTTCACTGTGCAAAGCATTTAAGCCATAGATAAGTTTAATTTTCTTACTTATTTTATTTAAATTTCTTTTAAGGAAGTTTGAGAACTAAAACAACACAAAATAAAAGCATCTCTCCAAAAATACTGTAATAAAAATGGGACTACAAACTCATTGGGGACCTATTTATCCTTTATACCTATAGCAAATTCAGAAAACACAAATTTTCCCCCAAGAGGTAATAAATATCTTGATACCAACTATCACCACATAAAAGCAGTCATTTTCTATTTTGAAAACTAGAAGGAAACACCCAAGTCACACACCATCACAACATATGGGTGACAAAGAGTTCCATTTCTTAATATTTCTTGAAATTTATTACAGTCAAATTTTTTAAATCTAGCATCTTTACGCCAGATAACTAACACAGCACAATTTGGAAGCAGTTAACACTAAAATACAAGAAAAAAGAATTAAATATTTAAAAGTCACCTAAAAACTTGATTTCAATAAATTTTAAAAACAGAAACAGCCAGGCCAGTATGGCTCAGTAGATTGAGCATCATCCCATGCAGTGAGAGGTCCCAATTCCATTCCAGGTCAGGGCACATGACCAGGTTTCTGGCTCAATCCCCAATAGGGGGCGTGTAGGAGGCAGCTGATCAATGTTTCTTACACTGATGTTTCGCTCTCTCCCTTCCTCTCTAAAAAATTAAAATAAAAACATATTTTAAAAAGATAAAAAACAGAAACAGAACCATGTTAATAAATTCTAATTTTTTCCCTTCACTCCTCCAATTAAACATTCACATTACTGTAATGCAATTAACAAAATCAAACACTAATTACCTAATGCCTATGTATTTAATAACTAAAAGCTTATAGGTAAGTATTCAAGAACTCATAAAATTGAACTGCTTTTACACAAGCAGACAAGAAAAAAAACTATTATTTAATTTCTATCAATTAGTGATTAGCTTTACTTAGTAATCTAAACATCTATATAAAAAGCAGTAATATGTACCTTGGACCTGCAGACATGACTGGACAGCTTGCTTCAGTGCAGAATTCTGTAATAGTTCCATATAACATGTTGATCTGGTTGAAGAAATCCACAGCTGGTAAGATAATAGCAAAATTGTGTTAAAATACCCATGTAAACCCAACAAAATATTAGACCTCTCACTTGAAGGAAAAATAGAAAATGTATTCAAATTCTTGGCTGAATCCTTGAGAAATTCAACAATCCAGGGATTCTGTAAATTCTCTTCTCTTTGTAAGCCGTCATACCTAAGTAAACTTTTAGTATACATTCATTTTTAATATACTAAGCTTTTAACAGCAGAAAAATAAAAATCAGAGATAAGTCTAACTTCGTGGTGACTGTTACAATATACAATTTGATTACATCCAAGGGAATGAAAAGAGCCATAACTTCTATTCACCTGGACCAGACAATATCATTTGTTAGCAAAGTGTTGTGAAATAATACATTGTGAGGGAGAAGGTTTATCAGCTATTATCAACAGGCATTTAAAAAAATCTAATTCATCATAAAAAAAATTGAGGCTATGCATATTGAGAACATTAAAAAAAAAAAAAGACACGGGATAATGTTCCTTGCCCTGGATTCTCCATCTAACAGAAGGGACAAAATTGTAAGAGATGAATAATATAAAAAGGTAGTTATACAAAGGCCAACAATAAGTGTGAGAGTTCAGAGAAAAGGCAACATATTAAAGAGCTGAGGTAGTCAGGGAGTAGTACCTAAAGGAGCTTCAGCTAGATCTGCAAATACAATGGAAGAGGAAGGTGAATGAAACAACTTAACTGAGTGAAACATATTACATTCTGTACAGAGAGAACCACATAAGCCTTAATATCACACACATTTTTTTTTTTAAAGATTTTCTTTTTTAATCCTCACCTGAGGACATTTGTCCATTTTTTGTTCAGACAGAGTGGGAGGGAGAGAAAGGAAGAGAGAGAGAGAGAGAAAAACAGCGACGTGAAAGGGACACATGGAATGGCTGCCACCCATACGACCAACCAGGGCTGGGGACAAACTGCAACCAAAGTACGCGCCCTTAGCGGGAACCGAACCCAGGTCTCTCTGGACCGCAGGCCAACATTCTAACCGCTGAGCCAAACTGGCCAGGACTTAAAAAGATTTTTAAATTGATTTCTAGAGAGAGAGAGGGAGAGAGGGAGAGAGAGCGAGAGAGAGGGAGGGAGGGAGAAAGAGAGAAACACTGATGTGAGAGCAAAACATTGACTGGTTGCCTCCTGCATGCCCTGACCCTAATGGGACTGAGCCCGCAACCTGGGCGTGTGCTCTGACTGAGAATCAAACACACAACCCTTTGGTGCATAAGACAATGCCCAACCAACTGAGCCATACCAGCCAGGGCATAACCACACAAGTTTTAAAAAATGTTTTAGTTTCCTGTCTAAAAGAGTACCTAAAAATCCACTAGGGCCTTTCCAAGTTTCTTAAAAAACATATTAAAGGAACTTTGTACAAAACTTCCTCACTTACAAACTTTCCTCTTAATTAGTCATTTTTCTAAGAAAGCAATACCTAAGTACTCAATATTCAATCAAAACAAAGAGTATGCTCAGATGGTGTGCTAGTTTATTGGTCTAAAGAGCTATTTTCAACCAGTGTTCTGCAAGAATTTTTAAAATATGCAATACTTGACTATTTAGTCAGGGGCACTGACCTCTTTTCCCTTAGATTATCAAATAAAAAAATGACAACAGCCAATGCTATCGCTTGGTGAGGATGAATCCAAATTATACCTATTTCTTTTTGTCAGATCAGCAAAAAATATTTTTTGGTACGCCGCAGAATTTTAGCAATTAGTTATGGGTACTATGTATGAGACAAAAAACAGTGAAAACTTCTTGTCTAATGCAACTGTTCTCTAAATGTGGTCCAGGGATTCCCTGTTTCAGGGGGATCTGTGAAGTTGGAACCATTTATTATCATTATTATTATTATAAAATATATTTTTATTGACTTTTTAGATAGAGAGGAAGGGAGAGGGGGAGAGAGACAGAAACACTGATGAGAAAGAAGTATCAATTGGCTGCCTCCAGCACGTACCATACTGGGGATTGAGCCTGCAAGCTGGGCATGTGCCCTGACCAGGAATTGAACTGGTGACCACCTGGTGCATGGGACGACACTCAATCCACTGAGCCACACTGGCCAGGCTATTATTAGTTTTTAATTGATTTTTTTTTTTAAGAGAGAGGAAGGAAGGGGGAGAGAGAGAGAAAAAGAGAAACATCAATGTGTTATTCCATCTATTTATGCATTCACTGGTCGATTCTTATATGTGCTCTGACCAGGGATGACAATACCTTGGATATCGAGACGATACTCTAACCAACTGAGCTACCTGGCCAGGGCTATACCTTGTTTTTTTCTCTTAGTGATATGAATAATGGCTTTTTTTAAAAATCCTCATCCGAGGATACTTTTCCATTAATCTTCAGATAGAGAGGGAGGGAGGGAAAGGGAGGGTGAGAAAGGGAGGGAGAGACGGGGGGGGGAGGGGGGGGAGAGAGAGAGAGAGATCGATGAGAGACACATTGACTGGCTGCCTCTGGCGTGACCCCAACCAGAGCCGGGGACAAATTGCAACCGAGGTACATGCCCTTGACCAGAGTTGAACCCAAGACTCATTGGTCTGCGGGTCGATGCTCTAACCAATGCTCAGGGCATGAATAATGGCTTTTTAAAAAAATATGTTTTCTTTATTGATTTTAGGTAGAGGGAGAGATCGAAACATTGATGAGTGAGGACATCGACTGGTCGTCTCCTGCACGCCCCCCACTGGGGATCGGGCTCACAACCTGGGCATGTGCCCTGACTGGGAATCAAACCAGCGACCTCTTGGTGCATGGGTCAATGCTCAACCACTGAGCCACACCGGCCGGGTGAATAATGGCTTTTTAAAGAGTGGGAAGAAACAAAATTTTTCTTAATGTGGCTACTAGAAAATTTTAAATTATATTTGTACTTTGTATTTCTATCAGATGTGCTGATCAAGGCAAAAGTTATTAGCTGATTAATAATACACCACATAAAAAGATAACTAAACACTATAGAAGTAGCTATACCATTGGAAGTATATACCACCACCTATGAAGTAATCTTCCAAACAAAATCAAGTCTGACTGATCCAAGCTCCAAATCTGTGCTAACATGGTAGCTACTAGTCACATGTAGATACTTACATTAAAATAAAATTAAATTCAATATTCAGTTCATCACATTAGCCACATTTAAGTGGCCACAGTGCAGATATAGAACATTTGCATCATCACAAAAAGTTCTATTGGACAGTATTGCTCTAGATCTAACATTTACAGGAAACAAAAGGAGGAACAGAACATGATAATCAATGTCTTAGGAATATAATCAGCAAAATTCACACTGCAGAGAATAAATGAACAAATGAAATGATTTCTTCAAGAATTACAAAACAGCAAAGAAAAAAAGACTATAATGAGGGGAAACCTAGGAGCAAGAGATTCAAGAAACACATGTACATATGTACAAAGGAATACAGCCATAAGAAAAGATGAAATATTGCCATTTGCGACAACATGGATGGATCTTGTGAATATCATACTAAGTGAAATAAGTCAGACAGAAAAAAATCAAGAACCATATGATATTACTAATTTGTGAGATATAAAACTGGACACGCCAATGAACAAACAAGACAAACAATCAAAAATTCAAGACACAAACAACACTGTGGTGGTTACCAGAGAGAAAGGGCAGGGAGTAAAGGGTAAAGAGGGTCAAATACATGGTGATGGAAGGAGATTTGGCTTTGGGTGGTGAGCACACAATGCAATATACAGATGATGTATTACAGAACTCTACACTTGAAATGTCTATAATTTTATTAACCAATGTCACCCCAATACATTTAATTTAAAAATTTAAAAAGGAAAAGAAACAGGCTTTCCTGGATCCTGATTTAAACCAACTATACATAAAAAAAATACATATATTATATATATATATATATATATATATATATATATATATATATATATTCTTATTGATTTGAGAGAGAGAGGAAAGGAAAGGGAGAGAGAGTGAGAAAGAAACATTGATCAGCTACCTCCTATTGGGGGATCAAGCCCACAACCCGGACATGTGCCCTGACAGGGAATTGAAATGGCAACCCTTTGGTGTCTAAGACAATGCCCAGCCAACTTAGCCACACAGGCCAGGGCCCGACCATACATCTTTTTTTTGTAGAATGATTTACTAGCAGTTCTGGAACATGGTCAATATACAGTAAATGTTGTCAATATTCTACACTGCCACATGTCCTGAAGAATATTTACATAGCCTGGCTGGTGTGGCTCAGTTGGTTGAGCTTCGTCCCATGCACCAGGAGGTTGAAGGTTCGATTCCTGGTCAGGGCACATGCCTGGCCTTCAGGCTCCACTCCCCAAAGGGGGCATTCAGGAGGCAGCCAATTGATGTTTCCATCTCTCCCTCTCCCTTCCTCTATTACATATCCTGGTGTCTCACAGGGCTGCCTGTCAGACATCTGAGGTCCTGACTGAGGCAGGTTTGTTATTCTGGTGAAGGCATCAGAAAACTCCGTACAAAGACTGTCCACCTGCCATTAATTTCCTCTCTTCAGGAGGGCCAAGGATGCCTTACTTTCAAGTCATCCTTTTTTCTGTTACCAATGTGTGATTAAAGTAACTTCATACCAGCCAAACCTGTTGGATGAGAACCACTCAGAAAGGTCTGGATTTTTAGGTTTCTCACTGCAAAGTGATGCTCCTACAGATTTTACCTGAATACCAACCATACACTTTTTTTTTTGAGAGAGAGAGAGAGAAACATGGATCAGCTGCCTCTTGCACTCCCCCTACTGGGGATTACATGAAATCCCGGCATGTGCCATAACAGGGAATCGAACTGGGACCTCTCAGTCCATGGGACATCACTCAATCCACTGAAACACACACAGGCCAGGCCCAACCACACATTATTATTATTTTTTTTTTAAAGAAAAATTTATAGGATAATCAGCAGAAATGTGAACACTACTTGGATATTTGATAACATGAAGAAAACGATGGCATTGTCATTACCTTTAAAAAGGGAGTTGTCATTCAGAGATACTGAAATCTTTATAGATGAAATAATATTCCACTTCAAAATAATCAAGGTGAGATACACAGAAGAATCGTGAATGGGCCATAAAATGATCATTGTTAGAGCTGCATAATGGATACCTAAGAATTCATTGTACTAGTCTCTATACTTTTGTATGTTTGAAATTTTCCATTAAAAAGTTTTAAAAACTACTGGAACTTTGGAAATTCTTAATAGATTAAACGTTATCATCCAGAACTGTTCTTATCTCAGAAATTATATATTCTTAATATTCAAATCTCTAGCCTCAGTATATTCTTCCATGTCATGCCCTCACTTTCTTGAACTCAACAGGTACTTTCAGTTCATGGGTCCCACCACTTTCTACCAATCTCTCAATTTCCTATGACTACTCTTTTTTTTTTTTTAATATCCTCACCCAAGGACATTTTTCCATTTTTTGTTCAGATAGAGTGGGAGGGAGAGAGAGAGAAACATCAATGTGAAAGGGATACATTAAGTGGCTGCCTCTCGCACGACCCAACGAGGGCCGGGGACAAACTGCAACTAAGGTACATGCCCTTAGCGGGAACTGAACCTGGGTTTCTTTGGACTGCAGGCCGTTGTTCTAACTGCTGAGCCAAACCGGCCAGGGCATTATGACTACTCTTAAGTCACAACAAATAAATGACTGAAGATATAAATTGCAATTGACTTTTCTGTATACATAGTAGGCAGATGAGAGCTGCTGAGAGTAGGAGCACAACTAACTATACAGAAGGATTTCCTACAAAGTTATGGTCCACCACAGGTAGAATCTTTGCATTTATCAATCTTTTCTTTGACCTTACACAGTTGCATTCTCCCAAGTCCTCATCATTTCTCCTTAGGTTTCTCTACTCACCTACAAAAGCTACAACCAAGTACTCTAAAGAGAACACTACAATTTTTAATATATTTGTATTTATGTGTTTCTTTACAGATAATTATTATTTTACAACTCTCACATACATGTAAAATAAAATTCATTAACAAAAATATTTGAGCAAATCTTCCTATACACCAGTAAAGTTGAATGTTATTAAAAACTTACTGTTAACAGCAATCCATTCATTGAGATCCTCTCCCTCTGGCAACATAACAGCTTGTCTCAGATTCCCACTTCCTAGAGTTGCTTCTGCATGTTTTAAGAGTTCATACTGATGAGACCCTTCAGGGATATTCTTCTTTGGTTTGAATGTTTTAGAAGAGCGGCTGCTGCTGTTAGGTTAAAAGAAAAACTGTGTCAATTTTTAGGACTAGAAGCAGAATGGTAAAATTTTAATGGCATAATATAAATTGTTCTATAAAATAAAATAAAAAATACTCCCTGAAAAGTGTCAGGATTTGAGGATGGGGTGGGTGATGATCACAATAAAAGAATGCTTTAAACTTTTTTTTTTTTAAATTCTCACCTGAGGATATTTTTCCATTCATCTTCAGATAGAGTATGAGGGGTGGGGTGGGGGGGGTGGGAGGAACCTCTATGTGAAAGACACATGGATTGGTTGCCTCCCTCATGACTGCAGCCCGGGGGCCAGCGACCAAACCAAAAGCGAGGTACACGCCCCTGACCAGGATCGAATCTGCGACTCTTCAGTCCACCAGCCAACACTCTAACCGCTGAGCCAAACCGGCTAGGACTTAAATTTCTTTCTTCATGTATAAACAGGATTGGCAGCACAATTTCACATAGAAGGCAATTTAACTATGCCTCATGAAGCAGTCTAGTGTAATAGAGAACTTGAACCAAAAGAAGAAAAAACCTGGATTCTACTCCTTGATCGGACAACATCTCTGTGGCTGCTTGAAAAACCTATCTTCCTTTTGGGCCTCAATTTCCACCTACACAAAATGGTGCTGGGAGGAAAGCAGACCTAAGATTCTAATAGCTCAAAACACCAGTTTCTATACCAAAATATTTGGGATGCTGTTAAAATCAAACCACAGTGGAGATAACAGCCTTTTTTTTTTTTTTAAGTTTTAAGCAGGAAAAATAAGAGAGACAAAGACAACTGGTTATTGGGGAAAAAATAAGATTTTAGCCCTGGCTGGTTTGGCTCAGCGGTTAGAGCATCGGCCTGCGGTCCAGAGAGACCCGGGTTCGGTTCCCGTTAAGGGCGCGTACCTTGATTGCAGTTTGTCCCTGGCCCTGGTTGGTCGTGTGGGTGGCAGCCACTCGATGTGTCCCTTTCACGTCGATGTTTCTCTCTCTCTCCCTCCTACTCTAACAATACAAATTAAAAAAAAAGAAAAAAAAAAAGATTTTATTGCTATCTCACACCATCCACAAGGTCTTCCTAACATGTCACAAAACTCAGAAACCTTAAATGGATGGATTTCAAATCACAATGAAAACTAAAAAAGTACTTGCAACATACATTACAAAGGATGAACTGGATAATAATGGGCTTCTATAATCTGTTAAGAAAAAGGTAAGGATCCCTTTAGAGAAATGAGCTAAGGAAATGAATAGTCAATTCGGAAAGAAAAATACAATGGCCAATGAACATCTGTAAAGCTGTTTAATTAAAGTAAGATTTATCTTTCCTTAAATTGAGTGTTAAAAGTTAAAACAATTATATTAAGTGTGGTATAGAGAAATTAGCACTTTAATACACCATTAGTGAAAGTGTAAAGTGTTGCCCCAGCCGATTTGGCTCAGCGGTTGGAGCATCAAGCCTGTGGACCAGAGAGTCCTGGGTTCGGTTCCCACTAAGAGCACATACCAAAAAAAAAAAAAAAAAAGAAAGTGTAAAGTGTTTTGGGGGCAATACGGCAGTATATGTTAACACTGAAATGCTTCTCAATATATTCCTCCCACTTCTAAGTATCTCTCTTAGATATAGTAAGGATGTGTTTTTCAAGATTGTTTTTAATAGCGAAAAATCTGGAAACAATCCTAAGGTTTATTAGAAGAATGAATAAATAAACTACAATACATCCACATCACGGAGTACTGTATTGTAGTTAAGAAGAACAAGATACAAGAACAAGACAGAGCTACATGTATTTACATGAGAAGATCTCAAGACATGGTTAAAAAAAACCCAAATGTACAGCAGGAGCCCATTTTGTAAATGCACATAAAGTGTCAGAAAGGATACACATCAAACTGATAGTGGTGGTTACTTCAAAGAAGGGGAAAATAAAATGTGGGCTTCCACTTTACCTAGGTAACTTGAATTTTAAATAAGACTGATTAAGAAACACTAAAAATCAAATATGGAAAGTTTTTTTAACATGATAAATACCTGTATTTATTAGGGAAGTACTAAATTAGCAGGAATGGCCATTTGCAGATAGAAAGCTGTGAGTGACAGAAAACTAAATCTGGAAAACATGGAATGATGGCTGAATATTCAAATACAATCTTTGTCTAAATTAAGACTTGTGATTCAAATGACACCTAGAGAGTGAAAAGAATCCACAAAATGGGAGAAAATATTTGTAAACAATAGATGTGATAAGTGACTTGCATCAGGGATAAAGAATTCTTACAACTCTAAAACAAAAAGAGAACCCAATTTAAAAATGGCCAAAGAGCCCTAGCCAGTTTGGCCCAGCGGTTAGAACGTAGGGCTGCGGTCCAGAGAGACCCAGGTTCGGTTCCCGCTAAGGGCATATATACCTTGGTTGCATTTTTGTCCCTGGCCCTGGTTGGGTCATGCGGGAGGCAGCCACTCGATGTGTCCCTTTCACGTCAATGTTTCTCTGTCTCTCTCTTCCTCTCTCTCCCTCCCACTCTATCTGAACAAAAAATGGAAAAATGTCCTCCGGTGAGAACTAAAAAAAAAAAAAAAAAATCCACCAAGATAGAGATATTAAATGTATATGCACAAAACAATAGAGCTTCAAAACTCAAAATGGCCAAAGACTGCCAACTAAAATTTAAAATAAAAAGATTTTAATGGTCAGAAGATTTGAATAGACATTTCTCCAAAAAAATATACAAATGACCAATAAGCACATGAAAGGATGCTCAACCTTCTTAGTCATTAGGGAAATGCAAATTAAAATCACAATGAGATACCATTTCACATCCACCTAGGATGGTTGTAATCTAAAAGACAACAAGTGCTAGCGAGAGTGTGGGGAAAAGGAAACTCGGACAATGCTGGCGGGAATACAAAATGGTGCAGTGGTTTGAAAAAGTTTGGCAATTCCTCAAAAGATTAAACATAATTACCATGTAACTCAGCAATTCCATTCCTGGGTATAATACCCAAGAGAAATGAACACACCAATCCAATACGAAAATGTGTCGAACATAAATGTTCATAGCAGCCTTATACATAAAACCCAAAAGGTGGAAACTACATTATCAAAAAAACAAAGTTCAGAAGCAATACACAGCCTCACATTTACATCCAAAAGCAACTAAGCAACGTGAATACATAGACAAAGCATTAAATAAACATTAACTCCTAAGAAAAAAACTGGGGGTGGGGGTGGGGGGGGAAAGGCTGTTCTAGTAATATAGAAATTTGCAATTAAAATGTAAATCATACAGACTTCTTGATACAGTGATCATATTTTGAAGACTAAACCCTTAAAAAATAAAAGAGAAAAGACGATCTGGACAAAAATATTCTCAGTAGTACTATTTCATAAATAGCTAAAGAATCCAAATTTCTCACAATAAGGAACTAGGTGGATTAACTCTGGTCATTTTAAAAATTTAATAAAATATCATTTTAAAATTTTAACAAAATGTCAAGTATCTGGGTAATGTCTGTGACTAAAAATGGACATTTATTCACGTATACATCACACATTTGAGCAATATGCTACGTAGAGAGCCACCTGAGAATAATATACAGAGCAATGCCTCTCGAACTGCAGCGCTGCACGTTTTCCTGGGGCGGCATTTTTCACGGGGGTAACTTAATACTGACGATAATAAAACTGGACAAACGGTGGAATAAAAAGCTAAGTCAGTAGGGATAGTTACTAGAAGACGGCCCCAGATTTGAGAAAAACTGGGAGCCCCCAGGTCGTCCCTTCGCCCTCAGGGGCGTTGGGGCGGAAAAGTTTGGAGGTGCTACGGGCCTCAGGGCCTTTCTACTCCTCAACCTTCTTGCTCCGTTTCCCTTGCGTCGACTTTTTCAGCTCCGTCTTCCTCGGCCCACGTCCTCGCCTCTCCCGTGGCCCCAAACCCGGGCAAACCAAGCGCCGGCCACCCGACCCCGGGGCCGGCCCTCGCCTCCGCCGCCCCTTCGCCCGGGCTCCGACCCCCGCCCTCAGCCCTGGACCCCTCCGCCGGGAAGCACTCACAAGAGGAAGCTCATCTTCTATCCTCAGAGGGGAGGGGAGGGGCCGCTGGCCCCTGCCGCAGTTAGGATTCGGAGCCCGCACGGGAACTGAGAGGTAGCGACAGTCCTCGGCCCGCCGACGGCTGAAACACTGGCCGCCGCTGCTCTGAGCCGGGGTCGAGCCGTTTCAGCGGATGCAAGCGATAAGCCCACCTCGTCCGCCTCCCCCACTTAGCAGAGCCGAAATGCGGAACCAGCATAATCTCGCGAGAAAAGGCTTCGCTCTGCCCTGCCCCGCCCCGCCCCCAGCCGCGAGGTACGCGGCTGGCCCCTTTGGTGCACGCCCACTTTTCAGCTCACCCAATCATCAGTCCCCAGGCCAGGTCTTCCTTCTCTGGGAGGCGTGGTGGGATTGCGGTCTTACCCCGGGGAGAGTGGCTGGCTTTGTGGTTGGTCCAGCTGTTTGCTGTTGGTTTATGTTCCCTAGGTAGTGTGAGGCCTCTATGAAAGCCACAATTTTAAAAAATTTAATTTGATTTTTAAATTGACATATAATTCACATAGTATAGAAGTCACCCTCTTAAAATGTATGCTCTAGTGGTGTTTTCCGTATATTCACAGAGCTGTGCAGCCATCACCACTATTTAATTCTAAAATATTTTCATCACCACAAAAAGAAACCGGTACCCATTAACAGTCCTCCCTCTTCTCTACCCCTGGCTGCAATTAGTCTACCTTCTTTTTATATGCAATTGCCTAATCTGGACATTTGATATAAATGGAATCATATGGTCTTTTTGTGACTGGCTTCTTCTACTTAGCATAATGTTTCCAAGAGTCATCTATGTGGTAGCATGTATCAGTACTCCATTCCTCTTTATAGACGAATAATATTCCACTGTATGAATATACCTTACTTTGTTTATCCATTCACCTGTTGATGGACATTTCCATTTCCACTTTTTAGCTATTATGAACAGTTACTATGTTCATTCCTGTACCAGTTTTTTATGTGAACAAATACGTTCATTTCTCTTGGGTATATATCTAAGAGTGGCTGGTTCATGAGAGGGAGCAGAATTTGCCACCCCAAAATAGGCTTTTTGGAATATTGATTATTTTAAGCTGGTTATTTTCAAGAAACAAGAGACTAAGAAAGAACCTTTAACCTTTCCCCTAGTTGCCCCTAAAAACATTTTTGATAGAGAACATGCTCCAGAAAGGGAGCTATTACCATACATAAATTAAATGTGACAGACAGGGAGGAGCCTAGCAAGGCCCTCTAATCAAATTCCTCTCTGTGTCCCATTGTTAAAGGTGGCACAGCAAACATTTATTTACCAAATATTTGCTTTTTCATCAATATGTAAATTGCCTTCCTGTTCTTTGAAGTTTCTGTTCTCTTCTACTTTTCTAAATATTCCAATTTTTCTCTAGTAAGCAAATACTAATATTATTTTTTTAACTTTTGTTTTGAAAAAAGAGAAGCAAGACAGAACAGTGACCAAAAAGCTCATATTTTGGAGGTGACAGTTTGGGCTAAACCCTGCTCGTGCTACTTGATAACTATATGTATGACTTTGATTATTTTCATTACCTTTTGATTCAGTTTTCTCATCTTTAAAATGGGGAGGGGGGCGACATCATAGGGTTGTGAGGATTAAATGAAAGGTAAAGAACGCACTTAGTTCTTAAAACATAGACACACTCAATCAACATTTGCTATTTAAAAAGAAATTTTGACCTCTTTTTTTTTTTGTAATTGACTTTTTTAGAAAGAGAGGAAGGGAGAGGGAGAGAGAGAAACATTGTGGGAACAGGCCCACAATCCACGCAGGCACTCTGACCGGAAATTGAACCAGAAATCTTTTAGTGCATGAGATGACTCCCAACCACACTGAGCCACATCGACCAGAGTTTGACATGTCTTATCACCTCTATTAGATGATCAGCATCCTGAAAGCAAATCCCTGACTGCTTATCTTTGTATAGTATTTTACAGGTGCCTACTGTGGGGTCTTGTGTCAGAGTAGATATTCAGCAAATATTTGCTAAGTAAATGCAATTGGATATTTTACTATTATTTTAGAGTTCTCTCTCTCTCTCTTTCTCTCTCTCTCACCTTTATGTACGTTGGGTTTCCTTACAGGAGAACAATCTCTTATCAAATGGTAGTGAAATGACCAGATATAGCAGTACATATTTCCCGGGAGGGAAGGAAGTGCCTGGATACTTCCCCAAACACCTTTGTAAGGGAGCCATGTGGGAAAACCACAGAGATATTATATCACTAGGATACTGGAGTGAGAGCCACAAGGAAAATCCTGTGTTGGTTCTATACCCTTGGCTTATAAGAAAGAACATAGCCCTTAAATGCTAGAGCAGTGGTTTACCCTGGAAACTAAATTTAAGTATCTTGGATACCTATGTGTTTTCTACGAGAATATTTTTTAAAAATATTTTTACTGATTTTTAGAGAGAGAGGAAGGGAGAAGGAGAAGGAGAGAGAGTGAAACATTGATGGGCTGCATCCAGCATGCTCCCTGCTGGAGATCCAGCCTGCAACCTGGGCATGTGCCCCAACCAAGAATTGAACTGGTGACCTCTTGGTGCACAAAATGACACTCCACCAACTGAACAACACCAGCCAGGCTCCATGAGAATTTTCTATATGGTGTTTTCAATTTGTTGTATACACTTTCTCTCACACACAATTATTTTAGACTGTGTGGTCTAATAGAAGTATAATGTACAATCAAAAATTTTTTAGTATATATATATTTAAAAGGCAAAAATAAAAACAAAAATTCCAGGTAAAATTAATTTTGATAATATATTTTATTTAACCCAATATATTCAAACTAATGTGATTTTTAACTAGGAATCAGTTTAAAATTTTTTTATGATATTTAACTTTTTTCATTTTAAGTAATCAAAATATGTTGTGAGGGTATTTTAGATTTACAGCTCAAGTTGGACTAGTCACATTTCAAATGCTCAGTGGCTGGTGGCTGCCATATTGGACAGTGCAGTTCTAGATCATCTGTATGATCTTCTTATAAACACAATTTCAGTACCATGGGTCCATTTGTGCTTGCTGTGTTGGTACCAAAGTGCCAAGTTGTTACTATCTAATGAAACATTAACGGAAGCATACAATATGAAAACGATGCAGTAACACCAAGGAACAGTCATGACACCTGGTGGAATGAAGAAACCAAGGAAAAGAAAAATTGTGGGAGAATCAAGTCACAGCTCAGGAAATGGTGATACAGGATGCCCAGCACAAAAGAACTTTCCCTGTACCTGTCACTACCATGTTCATGTTGCAGATGATTTTATTTCATCCAAAAAATTACGTCACATCAAATAATGATATCATTTTTATTTGAACTTTTGTAATTTTGTTGGTGTTTAATTTATAGCCATGTGATTTGATAGTGGTATAAAAGCTATAAGCAAGGATATTTATAGATTTGTACTTTTATAATCATTTATATTATTTAAATAATGTAATTATCATAAAAATATTTCCAGGCAGCATGAAGATAAAGAAATTTATGAAAGTCTGCACTCCCCATTAACGGCATTGTTCTTCAAGTTGAGAATCACTGAGAATATAAAAAGTTGGCTATGTATTAGGAAAACCTTTCAGGATAGACAGATTTGGGGTGGGGGTAGAGGCAAGGAGCCTCAGGGATTTGGGAAAAATCCTAGGTCAATATTGGACCAGGTTATTAATAAAGATAAAATTTCTGAGAGAGAGAGATTGAGATAGAGAGCCAGTGCTAATTTCTGTTGGGCAATTTGTCTGCCCCTGTCACACACACACACACACACACACACAGCCTACAGTTTACAAAGACTGGGAAGGTTTTACTCTTTCCTTAGATCAATTGGTCAGAGCGATCTCTGCACGCCATCTGGTCACAGCAGATGCTTGAAAGAAGAAGCTAAGCAGCAAAGTATAAAGCCATCAGTACTGCCTTTCCTGAACCTCTGCCACCCCCCATTGCCCCAACACCCATTCATTACAGTTCCCCTTTCCAGCTCCCTGGGGCAGAATTTGCAACCTTGCATTTTCATTCTGTGTAAGTGTCCTGTCTCATCATTTACAAAACTCCAGCTTTAACCTAACAACCACCCTCATGCTGGGCCTCTTCCCTCATGCTGGGCCTCTTCCCGCTGTGGTCACAGTAAGGTTTCTGCCCCTCCCAGCTACTTGGTGCTGTCTGACGCAGTTTCTGTTTTAGACCCTATCATAAGAGGCTGAAAAAAAGGCAGACAGACAATGAAGTAGCTAAACTGTCCCTGCCCGTCATCTCAGGACTCTGGTTGAAGATTGTAAAAGGGAAATCCCAAGTTATCAGGCAGTGAAAACTCACTCAGCAAAGAAGCCATATGAAAGTTTCCATTTTGGTCTTAAGTCTAAGGTCAGACCTCTGCCGTCATATACATTGGGGAATAAAATACATAGCCCTATTGGAGCTTACATTCAATTGGAGAAGGCAAATATTAATCAAATAATTACACAGTAAGTAGTAGGAGGAAAGGCATAGAATGCATTAAGAATATTAAGAGCCCAGCTGGTGTGGCTCAGTGGTTGAGCGTCGACCCATGCACCAAGAGGTTGCTGGTTTGATTCCTAGTCAGGGCACAAGCCCATGTTATGGGTCCAGTCCCCAGTTGGGGGGGCATGCAGGAGGCGGCCAATCAATGTTTCTATCTCTTTCTCTCTAAAAACTTATCTAAAAAAATATATTTAGAGAGTGAAACAGGCAAGAGAAACCCAAGAGACTGGGGTGTTGAAGGAGATGTTATTCAAGCCAAGACCCCAGAAAATGAGTTCACTGAATGAAGAAAGAGGGAAGATGTCCTACTCAGAGTCAACACCATGTACAAAGGTTTTGAAGAAGGTAAGAGTTTACTATGATCAAGGAACTGAAAGAAACCAGTGTGATAAGAATGTGGCAGGCAAGGAGAAAAGTGAAGGGGGCTGTAACCAGCCACCAAGAATCTTGGCTTTTATTTGAAGCAAGGTGGCAAGCCATTGAAAAGTTTTCAGGAGAAGGATGATGCCATCTACACTTTAAAATCTGAATCAGTTAAGATTCAACTGCAACTATTGTAGTTGTCTGGACAGGAGATGGAGTTGACCTGAACTAGATCAACAAAGAGAAGTAGGTGGTACTGACATCTATTCTGGAAAAAGAATATACAGGTCTCAGTGATGAGCTGGATGTGAGTCATGGCT